TATAACTATAAGATATTAAATAGAACTAAATATAACTATAAGATATTAAATAGAACTAAATATAACTAAAAGATATTAAATAGAACAATAAGATATTATATAGAAATAACTGACTTTATACAATCAATTACTTCTGCTCTCTTACCACTATCTATTTAAGGTGACGCCAAAAACATTTATAATAAGTGAAACAGTTAAACGTATATGATTTTGATGACAGAAATTTCTTTGAAATACAGGGTTAGAAGCTATTTAATAGGGATAGAGTACTAAAGAGAAGGGGAGGAGTGGCTTTGCATGTAAAATGTGAGTTACATCCTGTTGAGGATATCAAAGATAATAGCAAGGAGATTGAATCCATTTGGGTTTCTATTAGTGGATATGAAGGGAAAAGGCGTTTGGTGGGAATTTGTTACAGACCACCAGATGATACTGATGAAATTAGTGAGAAATTGTAATTAGTGAGAAACTGTTCGATGAGATTAATATTGCAGCTGTTATTGAAGCCATAATTAGGAGTGATATGAATTTCGCTAGAATCAAACCGTGAGAGAGAAAGGTTTTTGGAAACTGTTCAAATTGGCTTTCTTCATCAATTTGTCAAGGAACGTACTAAAAACAATGCTATTTTAAATTTATTGTTGATTCAAATTTAGAACAATAACAAAGACATTTTGTTTTTAATTAATAACACATTTAATTGCAATTATAAGAAAGTAATATACATTTTAGAATGTGTAAATTGTAGTGAATTATATATTGGTGAAACAGATAATTTAAGATTGAAGGTAAATTTACATAAATTCCAAATTATATCTCCCGAAAAAAATCCCACTCTATACCAGTAAACATTTTAATGAATGTATTTTGATAAAATTTGAAATTCTAAAAGAATCGTATTTTCATGTTTTTTTTTCCTTTTTGGAAAGTAATGTAAAACATAAAAGATTATTTTCGAAAAATATTTTATAAATTTCTTGGCGCCACTTTCAATAAATGGTAGTAAGAGGGCAGAAGTAATTGGTTGTGTAAAATTAGTAGGGATTGTGAAACCAGGAAAACAGTTACTAAGTCTTACAGAAAGGAAAAAGAATGAGATTACAGAATAAATGAACTGCATTTCTCTAATAAAAATAAAAGAAAGTATAATTAGGATAGGATCTAAATTTAAAAGGAAAATATATTAACTAATTTTATTTTATTTTTGATCATTTGTAATGTACTTAATTTATACATGGACTGTATTATATGTTTATACATATAAAGTATATTTATTTAATTTAGAATATTTATATTTGGTTGAAAAAAGGTATCTGTATGTTTTTGTTATAAATTCTCAGTAAAAATATTTTCTGAAGAATGGCCTTTGAAGTCATGAAACCAGTAAAAGAAATTAATAAAATAAAAATCTGATACTCCAGTGTTTATATATATATATATGTAGTTAGCAAAACGAAATTTATACAGGAAAATCACTTGTGTTAATAACAAATACAAAAAATCCGCAAACTTATACCAGTTGCTCGAAGGGACAAAAGATATAATTTGCAAACAAAATCTGTGATAATAGCCACCAAAAGCTAGGGTTAATTACATAACCGGCTGTAGACAATAAATAGTAGTGATGCTTGTAGTTTCTAGCACTTTAGTCCTAGTTTCTAGTTGACTTCCATTGCAAGTTGTCCTCTTTTATGTCAGCGTTATTCGGATTGCATCTGATAGGCCAGGAGTATTTATATTTATATTTTCGCGATGAAATCTTTCTATTTTATTCTTAAATATTGATAGATATTTATTTATATAAACCCGAACAGAAGTAATTATTTCGTCTCTATAAAGTCAATAATGATAACACCGAATATGTGGTACTAAAAAGAGTTATTTCAAATGATGCAAATAACGCTTAGAAATAACCTACTACTCCAATTCTTACAATTTGTAAATACTTCGTCAAAACCAAACTTGAGTTCGTACCCCCGGTCCACCAAACATGCTCGCCCGTTCAGCATTATTATGTGACGGTCAATCCCACTATTCGTTGGTAAAAGAGTAGCCCAAGAGTTGGCGGTTGGTGGTGATGACTAGCTGCTTTCCCTATAGTATTTCACTGCTAAATTAGGGACGGCGAAATTGAAACCAAACCAAAACTAAACTTTACTTCAGACTCAATGCATTTAAGATTGGTGAACTTGAGGTGCTATTCAGAGATGACTAAGTGAGTCCTTTGAGTTTGCGAACATAACTTTAAGCTTCTCTCACAAGTGTAAATAAAAAGCACTCTGCTAAATACGAAAACAAAATTTCGAATTTTTGTCATTTCGAGCTAATTACAAATTTAGTAATTGAATTACGTACGTTAAAACATTAAATACCGTTTTTAAAACTTTATTAATTTATTGTTACATCAAATATTTCTAACTGTTGCCCTCAGTTCTTATAAATTTTGGACAAGAGACATTATCTGTGTTAAGTACTTAATCGTTACATTTTTCTTTTATAGCATTACTAGGAGTCACGCTTCTTAGTGTCGTGTTGGCTGGATTTTGTGTGGTAACTTCAGTAATCCTTATCGTTGGAGTCTGTGTGGTAAGTTCGCTAGGATTCCCTCTTCAATATTAATAGAGCAAATACTTTATTACTAGTAATCTAAAATGATGGTGTACTCAGTTTTTCTTTTCTTATGTTTGTATAACTTAATATGGAATACCAATAAAAATGGAGCATTTTAGGCACGTGGAAAATTTTTTAATTCATTGAAAAACAAGAAATAGCAAATAAAAACAAAATCTGATGAACAGCATGTGTGTGTCCTTCGAAAACAATAACTACTGTCTGGCTTCTTCTCTTCATCTGACATCTTCTCTTCATGTCCCGTTGAGCTTCTGTGATGTTCATTTATGACAGATGTTCCTATTCATCTACAAGGTACTTCCTATCTTATGGAGAGTCAATGACTGAACAGAATGAACCTACCTTGGTTCATGCTTGGAACAGGCCAATCCACATGGACAGTAGTTTCCTACTGAAGAAACTCCACCATCTGAACAAAGTCGCCACCGTCCTCACATAAATGTAGAGAATATCCATCCCGTTTGATAGGATGTCAAAGGAGAGCCACTGGACACATTGAGGCTATTACAATATCACCATTAAAGATCATTTTGAAACCAACATAAAAGTCTGCTTAGCTACAGTGTTAGGACAATACCTCCAATATTATCTCCACACTCTGGCACGATAGTCAATGAAGTCAAAACGAATCCTGAAGAGCATTATCGTCCAATCTTGGACACTTCAATCCAGATGGTTCAAAGTTTAATCTCGACGTGTTTGCTGTAACTTTGGGCCAACAAGATCGTAATACATAACCATAGAGCAGGCTAAATGCACCTATTGTGGGCAGATTTGGTGGATACAAGAACTCTACACGTGCTTCCTGGAAAGAGTTTGGACGAGTCTGCATGGTCAAGAAGAGTCTGAAGAAAAGGGAAAACATAGATGTCAAACGAGCATGCATTCTCATCCATCCTGATTTTTTTGTGTGAAATACAAGTATTTTAGTCTCAAACTACGTGTTGTGGTCTTTCTTTTATGTATTGCGTTATGACATATATGACACTCATATAGGGGGTTAAATGGGTTTTCAATAGTTTCAGGAATGTATTTAGGGGTTAAATGGGTTTTCAATGGTTTCAGGATTGTTTTCACGAATTCACTTAAAATTTGACATGGACATGCAATGGATCGCTTTAAATAAGCATCTACGTTTAGATTTTCAAATTTTTCACACTGGACATGTAATAAGTATCTATTATCACACTGAAGCTTCCAAAGTTGGCATCGGGAGCTCTGAGGATTACTTAAATATTGAAAATAACATTTTTCACTCAGTTGTTCTCTTTCATTAAATTTCACGATTAACTTACTAGTATATCTAGAATGTCACTCTAGGGAATTTCAGGATGTCGAAAATGTAACTTTAAAAACGATAGCATCATTTACATTTTTCATTGTAGATAGAGATGAAATCCGAGAAAAATTTTGTAATATTAACAATTGATTTTGTATCTCTAACTCAGTCCTTCACGATGAAAAATAGTATTAAAAACAGTAACTGGAGATCAACGATTAATAGTACAAACAACCTGCTTGAATCATGAAATCGTATACAGCCATGGCTAAAGAGTACTCTCATATCAGAAACAAACAAACCAGTTGAAATAGTTTTGGAATGCATATCAGCTTCAGATTAACAGTGCCATCAATAATAGCTAATAGTATTAGTGTTAACATTAAATACTTGCATTGACAGAGCAGTGGATTTGGTCACATAAGTTTTGTGGAATGAGTGGCGAAGGCATTAAATTTCGCAAAATGGTTCTTTAAAGCACCATAAAGCGTATCAGATGTGGAGCCAAATCACTAAAAATTTATTTCCGGTATAATTCAAGATGGTGGACGAAAAGTTCGAATTTTTTAAATATTTTCATAACAGTAAGTTCTCTACAAAATTTGATGCACAAACCTTAAGTTTTAGCCCTAACTGAAAACTTCATAATTGCATTTCATAAGAAAACGATGTATTGCCTTTCACGGTAAAAATCAAGAATGAGAAGCTGATAAAAACGTGTAAATGATGTGTCATACAAGGAATAGAATGATGTAAGGAAGACGGAAAGAAAACCTATGCCCAACAAAGCCGATAACTTCCAAAGAGTCAGATGTGAAAACAATAAGACCAGAAGCTATCAGTTCAATGAACGTTGGTGCTGCACACAAAACACAATCTGAAATCCCAGGAAGTTTTCGTAAGTTAGGAAAGTTGCCTTTTCCTGTTAACTTAAAAGCTTTGGATGACGGTAATGGAACAGAGGACATCCTATTGAACAAAGCTGGAGGCGCAAGTCCTGCTCTCTGAAAGTCAACAATACAAAACCGAAAGAAGCAGAAAATATTGTATATAGAAATAAAGAAACAGACTCTACTGAAAGTTTCAGAAAATACACACGTTACATCTATCGGGAGAAGATGTAAAAATAATACTAAGAGTTTTATTTTTATGTACCAATTTAAAAGGTACAAAAAGATATTGGTCTTATTTATTATTAAAACTGATTCGTCAAAATCATTTTTTTTTGTTTGTTGCTGTTTACACTGAAAGAAGAGAAGTTGAATGCAATCAATCTGTTGAAATCCAAAGCATAACAATCTAAATCAATCATCTTGTCTTAAGAAACATGTTCATAAACGTTTGTCATCGTATTTTGTCCAATTAATTCATATTTAAAGTTACTAAAATATTTGACCTAAAATTGGGCTATTTATTTTGTTGGTGAGACCGGAGGTGGTTTTTTTGTGTGTGTGGTGACACAAGAGATATCCAGACATGGTATCAAAGAGCAATTAGTGATTATTTTAATTCATTATATACAATGCAGTCGTCAAACAACATATTCCGGCGGCCATTTTGAAAAAACAAACAATAACATAAATATACGATTTTTTTGCGATGGCTTCCTATCTAAATTTTTTATCGTGGTCTGAAATATAATTGTACCAATGTTTATACCTTTATCATAAAATTCACTATGTTTATGAAATCCGCCGTACTATGAAAAAGAAACTTAGGACCCAGAGGAGGTTATTTGGCAGAAACTTTGATACAAAGCCGTATTCCAAAAACTTTAGGGTTTGTTCGTAATATTTGATATATTTCCCCGTCGCACCAAACATGCAAACATGCTCGTCCTTTCAGCCGTGGGGGCGTTATAATGTTGCGGTCAATCCCATTCGTTGGTA